TATGCTTATTTACTTCGATCAAAATCGTGGCAAAATTTCCTTCATTTTTTGTAAAGCAATATTTTTACATATTTTCGATGCAAACCTTGGTTTATACACATTTTTGCATCGAAAATAGGCATATTTTTGAACTCTTTCCAAACGATTACAAACGCAACCTAAGGATAAATATTTCATGGACGGGAGAAAACAGGTTTCAGAACACGCTCTAACGCCATGTAAATGATAGCAAACAGACGAAAATGCAAGAAAGATAGATAGCTAATTTATAGACAAAATCGCAACTAACTTGTGTACTCGTGGCCAAGTGGCCAATTTTTGATAACTAAGAAATCAATTCAGCAAGTATATGTTTGGCATCGATGTTGTAGATATGGCACTGTTTTCTAAAAATGGTGCTGCTGATGTGTGGGTTGGAAGCATCGTTTTCTGAGAAAACGGTGTCTCTTTTTTGTTTGGAAACGTTGCTGCCATGTAGAACGCTTCTTGGAGCAGCAGCAACGCTTTCTGTTTGGTACCAATGCTCTAGAAAACTTTTCAGCACCAGTACCTATTATTCAGTGCCACATCATGTCCCTGTCACTATCACCTCATGTTCCTGTTGGCAGCAACGAGTTTCCGGTTTCCAAGGTATGGTTTAGAGCACCATTTTTTTATGGAAAAACGATTCCAAACAACTAGGCATTTACTGGAGCACTGTTTTTTTTGACGTGATGTTGATGTATCACTGTTTTCTGGAGCAACGACATCTAAGCCAAACAGACGCCAAATGAGTAACTCAACTCTTTAGATTTGATCATGAAATTTGAAGCAAACCAAACCAACTTAGAAAGATTACCTTTAAGAAACAAATGAAACATATCTTCTTTAACCATAAATCAGACAACTCAGGTCCAATATTGAGGATCTCTTCGCCAAGCTAGCTTGAAGGGGACGAGAGCTAGTCATAGACCTCCATCCAAACACCCAAGCCCAAGGCAGACTTCTCTTTAAAGCCCATAGTTTTCACCAAAAGATGGCACTTGTTAATCCAAAACTGGAAGCAAGTGAAGAAGTGAATTCACAATAAATAAACTTAGTATTGAAGTACCCAGGAGAAGATTTGGTCCACACTAAACAGTTTAAACCATGATGGGGAAAAAGTAAATAAATCCTCTTGATTGCTTGATGAGTGATCATCTATATAAGATGTGTAATCAATACAACATCAAATCTAGTACCATTAACATCCAATTTGAAGCCAAAAGGGTTGGGGACCGATGGCTCCTTCTTATGTCAATATTCAACCCACCACCAACTACCCAATGGGCTCCCTTTTCTAGTATATCTCTCAAAGCATAAATAACTTTTGTATTTTTTCAAATACATGACATGGACACTCCATAAAGTTTGCAATCCAAAAGGATATATTCGTTTTTAAAGCATTTCTCTTAGAATATGACACCAAAGCTCTAAGGCATTAAATAATAGTCTCATCTTTAGGTTCAGTGAAATCCATCCAAGCCTTGAGAAGATGTAGTGAGTGTTTTCTTTGAATCTCCACTAGAAATTCCATATAACTCCAACTTTAGCATATATCAAGGGTAGGGGTGTCAATTGGATTGGAATTGGTCCAATCCAATCCAGTCCAATGTGAGTCCATTATAAATGGATCAGGTCCAATCCATTCTAATGAATGTTTTAGACCAATTTGGGCCGGTCCAATTCAATGTCTAGAACGTCCAATCTATTCAAATTCATTTTGATTTAGATTGGTTTCATCCCAAACCTGGTCCATTGACACATATATTCTTATCTTATATCAATGAACCCAATCCAATATAAATTTGTTATGGATGGACCAGGTCCAATCCAATCTGGTAAATATTTTGGACCAAATCAGTCCAATCTAATATATCTTGTCAGTTCATCCAATCCATCCAAATTGATTTTGGACTGGACGGGGTCCAATCCAGAACCGGTCCATTCCCCTTAATCAAGGGTGTGGTGATAGTTGTGATCCTATGATCAACAAGTATAGCGAAAAGAATATGCTTTGTAAGGATGAATTTGCTTGTGTGAAAGAGAATATTCGATTTTCATCCAATCAAGAGGCCATTTGATTAATGGGAATAAGGCCCGATCATTCCAACTCCCATTCTAACCATTCGGTTGGGTGGAAATCGAAATCCCATTTCCATTCCTAGTGAAATGGCACTCCCCCATATGAGGAAATGAGCATTCCCTCCCCCTCCCTTGGGAATGAGAATCTCATTCCAGCTGGCTCTAATTCCAATTCTGAATCCTTTCTAAACCAAATAGGTAAGGGGAATAGATCATCCCGTACATTTCCTATTCTAATTCTTGGTATATATGCACTAAACTGACCAGTGAGCATACACCGGAGCCTTCGATTGACAATTTTCTTCCTACTAACAAACAAAGAGCTTCCTAGATATGTGTCATCTTTCATTATCAACCTAACCTCAAGCAAAGAGCCTTTAATGGACAATCTCATTGAGAAGAATTAGAGATCTTTTATAGTTTATAGCATGTCCCTACCAATCACAATAGAGCCTAATAGTTTCCTTTGTTTTAATGATCTTTGAAACCTTAGCCTTGATGTCGCGTAATCTACACACTCCCTCGTGTACTGTGACTCAGACTCTGACTAGATGTCAATCTGGCTAGGCTGAGTTGTAGTGACTGAGTTGATGTCTGACATCCAAGCTGATGTGATGCAAGAGAAGGAAAGTGAGAGTGCACGCATATCTTTTATCCAGGGAAGGCACTCTGATGCTTAAGACAATAAGTGAATGGAGATTACTCTAAGAGTGTAATAGAGCTTGAGAGAATTAGTATGCATACCTTTTCAGGTGAATTCAGACGCTTTGTCTTTTGGTGGATAAAAGAATTAAATACTAAAATATCAAAGGATAATACAAACAGTCTTCACTAAAAAAGGTGCAAGATGCAACCATAGCATAATTAAATGAAAAACAATGGACTGTCCAATTCATTGTGGAAAGATGTTATATAGAAGTGCGCATCAAGGTAGATATCTGATAGGCATCAGGTAAAAAACTTAATACAGTTATGATAATTCATGCAAACAATTCATAGAGGTAGAACAAGGAATATGGAGTATTTATCAGTTTATACTCTACCATAGGCAATTGATTCTTCCCTTTTTTCATCTTGCAACGTGACAATGCAACATGCATTAGATTATGATTCCTATGTTTGCATCCATGCAATATTACTTAATTTCCAATTTATAGGCCTCCTAGGCATAATGAGAACTCTAGTGGTTCAACCAACGGTGAGTAAACAAATCAAGATGTTGAGTTAGAGAACCTCCAAATGATACCTTATCATGAAGTCCCCTCGAAACCCTATGTGCGGCTCGACCAGTAGTTATATCAGCTTCTCTGTTCTCGTCTATAGTCACCTGACCAGCAAAAGAGATGCTTTAGTTTAAAGAGTCCCATATCATCCAAACTGTCAACTGAATAGATGTACATACCCCATCACTAACCTTCCGAGTTGGTTTGTTGACTCTGTGCTGAGGTGTCGACGGAGGCCGTGTGTCACCATTTATTTGGGAGGAACAATTTACCCCTCATCACTTGGCCTATCGGAAAATGAATAAACCATCATCTACAAATATAACATGGTTAATTGTTGAACCTATTCTATTGGATGCCCTTGATTTGATTGGTAGCTAGAGAGTATTTCAACATCTTAGAAATGACCATGATGCAATGATGAACAAAGAACAACCCTAGTAATTTTTCTAATTAGAAACATCTTACTATAGAAGAAAATATACAAATACCGAAATGTTCCCAATGCACCGCTGCGAGGACAAAATCTGATCTTCACTTCAGCTTGACAAAATGCAATTACCCAATGTTGGGTCCAACTATATGTGGTGTTAGAGAGATGAACGGGATACAATCCCAACCTTTGGCATTTGTTTACCTCTCTCCACTGTACTCATCTCCCTTTACACATACCACTTGCTCATAAGAGCTCGAATATGCTTCCCACAATACATTATAGTTGCACATGATATATTCCATACTTATATGTTGTGTCATTCATGGGTAGATGCTGGATAATATTTTTGTGAGTATCAAATCCAAAATCAAAATCTAGTCATAGGGGATGAACTTTTTTTGTGTTCTTTTGTTTTTGGTTTTCTGTGTTTCTTTGTGAGTATCAAATCCAAAACCTTGGTCTTCCTAACCGCTCACTCATTTTTGCTCGATCCCCGGTATGGTAATCCATGCAATAGCATTAGTAAGCTGTAAATTGCTGTTACAGCTTTTGTTTACTTCTGCTTAACTAGTTTTTTACCTAAACCCGACCCATTGGCAGGCCGAATTTTGGGTCTCTGAATCTTAAACAAATGTTGTCTGTGGAGCCCAATTTAGAAAGCAAAGCTGCCACACTCTTCAACCCTTCCAAACGGGCACTTTTAAAGTTTTGAGCCCGGGTCGACCCATGATCACCCCTACAACAAGAAGTCAACAAGTCAATTAACTTGTACAGATATAAGATGTCATGTACCTTGGATGCCAAGTAACTAAAATCCTTTGCAAATTCATTGGCAGTGAACCTCCACTGACGTAAGTGATTGCGCTAAGAAATCTGAAATGATTAATCTCAAGTTCCCCATATTCGCCTTGCCTTCCCATTCGCCAATTTCGTACTTAGAACCAAAACCAGAAAAACACACCAAGGTTATTTCGGTCCTTGCACCGCCCACAGGCTGAAACTGAAACACTGCGGCTGTTGTGCGCAAGGGAAGCATCATTCGCTCTTCTGTTGGGAGTAATACCATAAAACTTAACAGTATTAGGGGCTTTCTTATTATTATGCAAAATTCGTATAACATTTTTGTTAATATTTTTCGGCCTAGGATGGACTTAAAATCCATCCCAAGGGTATTTACGTCATTTTAACCTCGAAAACACCCCAATTAAAGAGCCCTAACTGGTCTTCTCTTTCTGCCTGCGTTTCCGGTTTTCTGTCTCGCCACTTCGAACCGTTGCAGAGGGCAGAAAGCAATCTCTCTTCTCTCTGGAAGAGATGGTAAGAGCGTACACTCAGGAGCACGTATACAGGCATCCATGGGAGAGGGTAACATCCGCATCCTGGCGCAAGTTTACCGACCCCGAGAACAAGCGCACGTTATCCCACATCCTTGAGGTCGACACCCTGAATCGGAAGCTCGACCCTCTCACCGGCAAGCTCTACACCACTCGCGCCATCACCATCCACGCCCCCGGTCCCTGGTTCATCCGCAAGATTATCGGCCAGGACATCTGCCACTGCGTCGAATCCTCGGTCGTCGACTCCCGATCCCGCTCCATGCAGCTCACCACCCGCAACGTCAGCCTCCAGAAGTTCATAGAAGTCGAGGAGAAGAGCTGGTATGAACCACACCCGGATAATCCCGAGGGTTGGACGGCTTTCCGGCAAGAAACCAGCATCCGGATCAAGCCCTTGTCCGCGTTGGCATCGATGGCCGAGAAGGTGGAGCAGCGTTGCGCCGAGAAGTTCCTGCAGAACAGTGTTAAGGGGAGAGAGGTCATGGAGAGGATCTGTAAGTATCTTGAAGCTGAATCTAGTGGGATTTCCATCTAATTCTGAGATTTCTTATTTCTAATTGGGTTATTTAAGGAGAGGGTCTCTGGCCTTGACTTTGATTTTCCAATTCTTAATCTGATCTCATAGTCCCCGAACAATGGCGGAAAATATTAGAAAACAAAGAAAAAAAAACACACAAAGTGTTGTGAAGTTTGGACGATAGGATCTAATGATCTTCCCCCTTCACTTTGTTGCAATTTTGATGTAATAAATCGTGCCTTCATTGTACATTAACCGACTAATCTAACCACTCTTTTTCTTTTTAATTTGTTTTGTTGATTGTTATGAAGTTTATGATTTCGATGAACCTTATTTGTGGGAAGTAGAATGGTTTCAAGTAATAAGGCAGGCTGGAAGAAAATCCTTGGGAAGTAAGAAGTTAGAGATGATTTCAAGTGGAAGAGAAGCGATCTATTCTAAAATGACTGTAAAATGAATAGCAAGCAAATTAAAGGTGATTGGGGAATTAAAATAACAACAAAGTGAAGTGCAACATGAATCCTCTTTTAAACCTATCTATCAAAAAGAAAATTATCATCTAAACCTTGTCCAAAGTCTATGGGGTTGGCTACATGAATCCTCTTTTAAGGTATCCCAACAAGAAAATAAAAATGTCATTGCCCAATACCGGATTCTTGGGATGGATGGACTGTATAAGGTCTGCCAATTGAACCTTTAATTGAAAATGGATGCCTGATTCAATTTAGCATTACACTCTATCACTCCATTGATGTTAGCATTACACTTTGCCATTACCTGCCATATGGTTTTAGATTTCGCATCTCCATTACACCTAATTCAATTTAGCATCTATGTTCACCAAAACTCCATTAATCTATAACTCAACTTTTCCTCTTTTTTATACCCAAATACAATGCAAAATTTTAGACTGCTGAAAAACTATGGAGTAGAGTTTATGTGATAGGCAAATAGCACTCAGATTAAAAGGGAAATTCTATAAAATGGTTGTAAGGCCAGCTATGCTGCATGGAGCACAGTGTTGGGAAGTCAAAAACAATATGTCAAAAAAACTAAGTGTGGCAGAAATGTGCATGCTGAATTGGATGAGTGGAAAAACTAGAAATAATAGGATTAGAATTGAAGTCATTCTAAAAAACCTAGGAGTAGCTCCAATAGGCAATAAAATAAGAGAAAGTTAGGATGGTTTGGTCACACCACATTCATAGAAGACCATCAACAGCTCCCACAAGAAGAAATGATCTGTTGCAAGGTGAAGGGGCTAGAAGGGCTAAGGTAGACGCAGAAGGGCATGGGTAGAAAGTATTAAGAAATGATTTAATGCCAATAATTTAACAATAAATATGGCATTAAATGTGTTGCTGATAAAAAATAATAAATATGGCATTAAACGGAATGGATTGGGCAAAACAGGATTCATGTAGCCAACCCCATAGAGTTGGAATTTGGTAAGGGTTGGATGATGATGATGATGATGATGATGATGATGAAACTTCTATAAAACTATTATGGCTAATTTCAAGATTGTTATGGAGGAAAAGGGAACAGAGAAAAATATAGAATTGACAAAGCACTCCAAGGACCGAAACTATAAATAATATATTTTAAATTCTAAGACCTAAAGAATTGAGGATATTGTAGATGAGCATTGGAAGAAAAGGATCGTGGATAAAATGTCATATTCATTAGCAAGAGTTATACATCTTGGATGGAGAACTAAAGTCAGGCCTGGGTGCTTAGCTGTTAAGGGTAGTTTCCCTTCCTTTTCTAAGATAGATGAAGAGGGGTGGAATGGTTTCAGTCAATAAAAAGAATAAGTTTTATTACCATTTTTCTTCCTTTTTCAGTAGTAATCAGAAGGGATAGAGGCGGGTCTCTTTAACATATTGTGCAGTTTTTTCTTTGTTTTAGTAATGTATACATGCTCGTGGCACACAAATACACAACAGAGTAGTCATCTTTTTTCTTTTCTATGTTGCTTTGTAGTTTATGTTTATCAAGTAGAGTTTGCCCGAATAATCTTGTGGTAGGTAAGTTTTTCATTTGGTAACAAAATGTAAGCAATTCCTTTAAATTTCCAGTGGCCAGTTGGGTGACTAATGTTTCTTAAAAATGAGAGGGCATCCTCTATTGGGGGAGGGGGTTGGAGTCCCCTCAATCCGCCCCAACCTATATAGATGTTTTCTTCTTATCCTGTGATTTTGTGGAAATGAGGTGCACTTTCACTTTCTTGTCATTTTCAATAAATTCTTGATTTTGTTATTGATCAAAGCAACTATATGCAAAATTACAATTTGGTAAAATTGCACCTTTTGCTACATTGCTACATTCATGTAATTTTTCTTGTTCGTTGAAGTATAAACTTTTTGTTTGAATCACAGCTTACATAGGTTATATAATTGCTTAACATTTTGTTTTAGTAAAATTGCACCTTTTACTGCATGCACTAAAACATGAAGATTTGCAAGGTGGAAGTCAAGTTTCCAAATAACCAAACATGAAATAGTGATGTCTTTAAAGTGAGAAGGGTCACTGTGAAGTGTGAATTTCCTCAAATAGTCAAATGATAAGACCAAGAAAGTCGAACTACTCGGAATTTAATGAATACTACTTCATTCAACATGCATAAACTCGTGGCTGAAGGGACAACAATCCATCTAAATTTTTTTCTGAACTCGTGATCTTCCTAACATACTGAAAGCTCTAGCAAATTTAATCTATAAAAAAAAAAGACAAAGCTCTATAAAATTTCTTATTTTCTGAACAAAGATCAGCGGGTTGTAAGCATGGTTTTTAAAAATGACCCAGAGACCGAACCGGTTAGAGGTCCGATTACCAGGTCAAACGGTCAACGGTCGGCCCGTTTTGACAAAAAAATAAAAAATTTTAAAAAATAAAAAACGGCCAATTGTGTTCTGTAAATCCTAGACCCCTCCCTCCCTTCCCAAACCACTCAACCTGCATCCTTCCCAAAACCCATTGTGTGAAAATCCAACCCTCCCTGCACATTAAAATTCCAAACCCGACCTTACCCTCTTCACATTGGAAGGTAGGGCTAGTTGTAGTTGGGGGTTGGGTCCGGAATTTGCATCTAATTTCATGTTATTTTCTATTATATATTGTAAAAGACCTAAGCATATCCCGAGTTTTTTAAATAAACTTGCATACTTTGTGGGCTGACCACACTTGACCACACTAAAAGAGAAGGAAGAGGAGTGAGGTGGAAGAAGGAAATTAGGCTATTTCCAGAGCAAAATAGAAGATAAAGAAGTAACAGAAAAACTTGCAAATATGAGTAAAATATGTCTTTAAGTATTTTTCAAAAACTTAGGGTACGTTTAAGTCATTTTAAAACCTTGTATACAAGCATTAAACAAGTGAAAGAACATGAACAAACATAAAAACAAAAATCAATTATTTTATTGAAACATGTTGAAAATACAAGCTATCAATTATCCTTCTCATAAGATTCAAATCATTATTAAATTCAACACATGAGCATTAAGGATATTTTAATTATTTTTTTATGGGGGTATTTTAATATATTCAATATACAAGTCAGAGAGGATCACTATTTGTGTTTTAAGAGTATCATTGAAAAACAAAAAAATATATATAAAATTCCTCTTTAAGAGATAACAAAGAAGAGAGAGAACACTTGTTATTCTCGTAAAATTGTAAAATTCCTCATAAGAGAAAGAGTTAAGAAAAAACAATAGACCCATTGTTTTCATTGTGTAGCAAGGTTCAAAGTATCGACACGTATCGGCTCGTATCAGTCATACGTATCGTTCTAGCACCCCATTGATACGTCCCTACAGTGGATGTGTCTGTGGTCTGATCGGTTCAAGGTGTGGTGAAGACCTAAATCGACTCCCCTAGACCAGTTGAAAAAAAAGAAAGTAAAAAAAAAAAAAAAAAAAAACACCAAAAGGAGTATCAATTCGCTCGATACGCCCATACCAACGTATCGGGCATATCGATATTTTGAACCTTGTCGTGTAAGGAATCCTCATTGTCATTTGGTGAGGGCAACGATACAATCCAAAAATATAACATCCAAGTCGGTCCCCCATGTAGAGACTAACATATTCCTCTGTCTTCACTCTTCATTAAGGCTATGGTTTAGAAATAATGCAAATGGAGTGTAAATCCCGATTCAAGGTAAATTTGTACTTTGATTCACTTTTTCTAATGTTTGGCAACATTACATTTTTGCATTGACAAATGACACAAATGTATATTTACATTGATAATAAGATGTAAAAGTATACCAATAAAATAGAATTAAATTTGCATTCAAGTGGACTTTTGATAAAAAAAGAAAATTCCTAATCAATACTCTGTACTTTGGCTTGAGTGACAATTTGGTCCCTAAACATTAAAATGCAACAATTCAAGTATTAGATTGTCACTTAACGGACTTATAAATAACAGGTACTAGATTGTCACATTGAAAATTCGGGTATTAGATTGTCACATTTTTAAAATTCGGGTACTGAATTGTCGCATTTTAAAGTTGAGGACCAAATTGTCACTCAAGCCAAAGTAGAAAGCACTGATCGGATACTTTCCCATTAAAAAACATATGCTTTATTTGTCATGCAAAACTAACCCAACTTTGCAATTTATATGAACCTTTTTAACCACCAACTGGGAGGATTTTCAGGTCACTTACTGGCATTTTTTTCATTCAAATCAGTCCACTCCCTGTTCCCCATATCACAACCTATCAAACAATAACCTTGCAAAATATTGAACAGTCCAAAGGCATTAAAAGAAACCGTCGTGCCAAATCACATTAACTGCCTAACAGAACTGCAAGAATTCCAGTTGGGAATGGCGTTCCCATCGTTGTGTTTTAGAATTGTAGACTTCGACAATTCTCTCATTTGAATCAGTGACCAAAATCTTGTACAAAATGGTGATCCCATCAGTGAGCATGCCAAGTTGCCCACGATATCAATGTATTGAATTTGAAGCATATCCAGAAAGACCTTATGGAAGCTAGTGACAGGATTACAAACGATCAAGGTAGAGTAATCATAATTGTGGTTACAAAGGCAAAGGAAACCACCAGAAGGGTAAAAACCTTGAAAATGCAGAGCATCAGTCAAAAGGATAATACCGAATTTAAAAAAAAATTCTATTGGTCACATGACTTCACATGTGAAAATAGCTTCTGACAAAGGGAGGATTTGATCAATTGTCAAAAACTCAAAGGACTTAAAAATACTTTTAAGAAAATATGTAAAGAGATGGATCAAGTCAATTTCCTAAACCTTAGATTGCCCTAAATTCAATCCCCATTCGTTTACCAAACAAATCAGTCCACTTTCAAAACGCATCTACATAAAGCCAAGTAACTGCTGTAGCCATACCATCACTACCATGCCAAAGAACTCATGACGAGAAACATCTGCACCTGACATCTGACACCTAAAAATTCGGAGGAATGTGAAAAATAAATAAAAAGCACAAAATTCACATAAAGGCATCAGGTTATATAAATACCAGTTCAGTCCCCTATTTTCTATAGTAGTGTTTTAATTAAACACACAGAGGCACCAGAAATACATGCTCTGTTCTTCACAAAATTTACAGCAAACATTGAAGAGAATACATGACCTTACTAAGCATGTGCAGGTCACGGGCTCATCCATACTGGGAAGAACTTGGACACTGACTTCCCTCCAAGAATAATGCTACAACCTACAACTCCAGATCCTTTTCATTCAAAAATATTTCTCCTAGTCAGTTTTTATTCAAAACAGTCAAAGTTAATTGATATTGCCAACTCAGGTCTTTATAGGAAAATGAGACAGGATTTTTTCCAAAAACTTCCAGAGGCAAGGATAAATGATTAAATGCATCAACAAATCCAGACAACTCAAGTCTTTCTGAGACAGACCTACTTTTGAGTCTAAGTTCTAGTCCTTCAATATTTCGAGATTTGCAACAATACAAGTCATCAGCTTTTACCCTAAAAATAGAAATAAACAAAAACAAAGCATCAACACACACAAATTACACAAACCAACGCAGCAGAAGGGTGATAGGGCAATTGGCAAACACCTATTCCAATCATTAGCTTCCCACAGAATGTGTTAACTTGAATCATCCACTGGCCACATTTTCTGACCAGAATTTTTATTCAACTAATATTTTTCACAAAAAAAAAGTCAGCACGAGTTTGTATACACTTGCCAAATAAAGAGGTTAGATTCACTTGGACCTCATTGATAACCTAGATAATAGACAAGGAAATCCAGTAAACCCCTCTATCTCATACAAGAAGTAGCAAAACATACAAACTCAAGTGATCAAGCTAAAATAAATAAATGAACACCAACTCACCACATATGGTATTCTTCTACACTGCATATGGACATTATCAGTGTATCCCCCTAACGCCATTCAAGAAAGACGCATCAAATACAACGATATGCCAGCGCTATCTAATATATCCAAAATAAATTATCAAATGCATAACACAATCCAATTAAAATAATTGCCTTCTGTTGTATGAGTTTCATTGTTCATTGTCGCGTTGCCATAAACGAGAGGGTCCCAAGTAGAAAGTGATACAGTAGATAGTGCCTAGTAAATTGATAACCCATTATTCCCCATGCCTAGTTTCAATCTACTAGCCGAGTAGGTTTGCCAACAACTTTTTAACTAGACGTAAAGTACAACTATGTGAAGGATGATGGAAAGAAGAACTAAAACACCTCCTTTAGAACAGCCTCTGAGGCCGATTTCATGTAGAAAAGAAAATGGATCTCAAGGGACCTTGTTGAATCCCAGTTAATTACATATCATCTCAAATTCATTAACAGATACTAGAATATACTTCAAAAGACAGATTGGTTCGTGGTGCAGGAGGCATTGACAAGGAGGCACCATGAGACCAACAACAAAAAGGTAAGGACACCCTTAACAAATTTATGTATCCCAATCCAATGCTCTGGTAAGTTTCCTTAATATTAGGGTTTTACAGATCCAACCTCTGCCACAATCCAAGCTCTAATAGCAGAAAGCTCAGTTATTGACACCACTCTGAAAAAAAAAATGACAAGCAACACTGTTGATGCAACAATGAACAATGGAAATAAATCATGGAAGAAGAATTATAATCTTCATAGGTTCCTGCACAAAGGGCAGATTTAGAGTTTTTTGGGTTATCTGAATTTTGTCATTAGAAGAATTCTAATCTTCTAAGGGGTGTTCTTTTTTGGATTTTGATTTCCATTGACCAAGAAACCCATGTTCTTTTTTCAGATTTATGCGGGGACCAGGGAAAGTTTATTTTCCTGGGTGGGTAAATAACATCCCACCTGGGGAAAAGTTGGCAATACTTGAATGGAACAAAAATGCCCATTTTAATAATGGATTTTTATGACTTAAATGGCCATTGCCTTATTTACATGGGAAATAAATGAACATGGGTAAATGCACTTACCCGGCTAAGTCTTTCCTAGGAAACACTTACCTGGGTAAGTAACTTACCGAAAAGCGAATGGGGCCTAAGAGTTATTTTTCCTTTACAACATTTGAATTTTTAAACGTATTATTGTAACCATGACATGTTTCATGTAGTCCAGTTTAAGGGGTCAAAAGTTGTTAATTTCACTTGGCATTAGTGCCACTACATAGGTTTTTCAATTACATATCCACCATGACCAAAGATATAGTGAATTCAATGTGTTTTGGGAAAATTGTTATCATTTTAGTAATAGAGTTCACTATGCTTGTCATTTGTACTTATGCAAATGAAATTTCACAGAAAGGAAATAGAGCCTCAATTTCTTGAAAGAGATATCAATGCATGAGCCATTTATTAGTTATTACTAATACATATCCATTATTGATCATTCTTTCATATTCCTCCAACACACAAGAATATTTTTGTTCTCTAGTACATGTATTCCAACATACAAGGACTATATGAACCACTTCCCCTACACACACAACTCTAACAAGCATAATTGCATATACAAGTTACCATCAAACTTCAGTATAAATTTTTAAGGAATCTATAATCATGTAATTACTAAAAAGAATATCATTACATTATAACATGTCCATGCATAAAATATGTGCATATGCACAAACATATGAAATAGAGCCACTCAAGACATTTAAATCTGGCATACTGAATCCATGGTCACTTAATTTATAGTTCTGATTTAAATTCTAAACATATCATAGAAGTAATGCAAATTTAGCTTCCACTCTACTAATAACCATCACAAATCACTGTATCTAACCTACTATATAGAACCCTTAAGAGTGTGCAGCATTTCAATATAACATAATTGACAAGGCGATGCCTAGGCAACAAAGCGCCCTTGGAGGCTCACCTCACCCAGTCACCAAGTAGTTTTGTGCACTATGTTATAAAATACTTTTATATTTTTAATTTTTGACATTATAATTATAAAATAGGCATTATTAAACTAGAATACTCATTTTATGTGTTTATGTACTAATTTCTTTTTATTATTTTCTTATTTGTTAGGGTTTAATCAACACAAGCATTGCTAACTGCTGTATTGAACCCATGGTTCAAAGTATCGATACACCTCTGTGTATCGGCAAAGGTGTATCAGCACTTATAACGATACTCCCCCCATTTTTTATTCCTTTGGGTTTTAATTTCATTTATAAATATATAAATATATATTATTATTTTAAAAAATGGGTTCCCAAAAACACCTGTAAACATGTGTATTGGGGCGCCAAAGATACGATACAATACAAATATGGGGCACATCATATTTTGTTCTTACAGATCTTCTTCTTCCACCTTTTCTTTTCTTCTTTTCCTATAACAAAAGTAGGAACTCAGCCCCTATAAAATGTTGATTTTCTATACTTAAAACATGAAATTTATACTTCTCTTATGAAAATTATGGATAATTATTAAGGAAAGATGGTAATGGAACCTAGGGAACTACCCTAGGATATATAGTTTTACTTAAAAAAATCCACCACCTAAGCGACTAGGCAACAAGGCACCCCCCCTGTCAGCTGTCGCCTAACCTTGCCTTGACACCTTAAAAAGCTACGATTGCTAATCTTAACCAATCAAAAGAGTAAGTTGGAGAAAGGCTTTGTTGAGTTGAGTTGCACATAACCATGTTAAATGGATTAATCAAAACGAAAACCAGGTTGCTCAATTTGAAGAATTTCAACTACATCAAGCTCATGTTCAGGCTCAATCCATATTCAACCCAACCCAACCCAAGTTGCACACCTAGATCATAATAATGGCCATAATTGGCCTATCTCCAATAAGCTAGCATACAGACCTCTGCAATATTTACAAAAATAAATGTGCAAATTTCAGAGTCATTGTCAAAGTGGTATATCAACTCATATGTCTAGAACCATCACAAAGATAAAGATACCATCTAGGTTTCACCAATCAATAAATTATGATAACTGTAAAGTAGTGCATCACCTAATAAGCATGAAACCCTCATGTTTCACTAAGAATCCAACAGCCAGCTTTCATACAAGAAACTGTGGTACTGGAACTATAGTGATTTGTACATGCAGAAACTCTACAGACTCTGAGAAAGAACAGCATGCCAACTTCACAACAGAAGAAACTGAAAAAAGATTGTTCCAGGTTCTAGTTAGAATCCCCTACTACCAAACAAGTCTACAATCAGCAAAGAGATCTTCAAAATGAGAACTAAAATGTAGCCTGAGAAAGGAGGTGACAACAACTAAATGGACAATCATTAAAAATGAAATCAAGGATAAAGCAGACTGAAGCCCAAAAAATTGAAACCACAATGGTGCACAGATAGGTTTCATATAGTTGCAGCATAGAATTTGCATTACAAATGCACCACCGGAGAGATACTATATGAACTAGAAACAGTAAATTACAAAGGTAACCAAATTATAAGCCAAAATGTCCATAAAACCAGCACAGACAGACTTACACACTGGAGCCAACAAAGAAATCCTTGCCAACCAACAAGGAATATAGAGTTCTTCAGATGCAAGGATGCCCTAACTATCATGCTTCCAACCATTTATATCAATAAAGGACACCTAACAAGAAGAACAACCAACTTAAAAGAAGATGTATCGATGAAACAAGAAGCATTGCAAGTTTGCAACACAGCACATGAACCTTCACTTCATGTTTCTTAGATTTTGTCCAGCTTTTCTGCCTTGACAACAGGGTTGGCTTTAGCTATTGCATCCCGGGCAGCAGTCCGGTAATCAAAGGGGCAGTCATGCTTGTCAGAGTAACGATGAACCGCACAGAAAATGTTTCCACACCGACAATTGAACCCTGTTAAGCCAACACGCTTCCTGCAAGAGCTGCACCTATTCGGACCCTCTTTCACCTTCACCTCTACCCCCTCGCTTGATGCTGAAGCAGAAGATACTTGTGTTGAGATGAGCTTGGGCTCTACTGAACCAATAGAAACATCCACAGAGCCGGCAACAACAGGCTCCTTTCCATTACTGCTGCTGCTGCTACCATTTACGATATTCTCTATGGATGACGCCGCAAGTTTTGCCTGCTCCTGCTTCAACACCAAATCCTTATGGCACTTTGAGCACATGTTCATGGTAGCCGCGCTTCCAAAGAAGCCACAGTTGTTAACACAGAGAATAGGACCTTCAGGAGCTTCGCATCCAGTCTCATCGTGCTCCATTTTATCAACTCTCCTGGGAAAAAGAAAACCACTCAAAATCTCAAAACAAAACTCAGTAGAAAAAATCCACCAGCAACCTAATCCACACGTACACAAAATAGACAGATTGATAACAGATGTAAGTAATCATAAACCATGGTCCTAAACAAACAAAATACATTTAGACAAGGATAGGAACAACAAAGAACAATAAGGCAACTGAACGTAAACATATACTATAACGTGAATGCAGAAACAGTACTCTCCGGCCAAACAAAATATCTAAGGTACAGAATAGAGAATAAATACAGACCAATCCACGTAGAAAGAAGAAAATTTTCCCCAAAAGTTCCGCCTTGGTCAACCACTATCCATATATCATAATTGTAAATTTTACATGAAAAAACAAATGAAAAGAAAATGAAAATGTAAAACACAAAAGAATTCAATCTCTATGTTTGCATTATGTCCTCAACACTCTCTCAGAACCCAGCCAAGCCTGGAGTCATTCAAATTCTCCTTTGAAAGTAGCAAGCTTAAGACAGCGTCTTGTTTGAAAATGGAAACCCCAAAACCACGCCCCAGAAAAATGTAAATTGCCAATAACATAGAAAGAACTCGACGTCATCGAATTGTACACGCAAAATGTGAATTGTGTGCACCAAAATCGCCAAAGTAGAGAACAAACCCTAACCCCAACAAAACGACGGGAAGACAAAACCTGACCCCAATACTGAGACAAATAAGGAAGAATTTGAAACCCTACCTAAAATCTTCAAACATATGGGGAAAGAAAGAAAGAGGAAAAAAAACCCTCACCTGTTCGCCAGGATAAAAGACTTTTGGACGCGATTCCTTTGGCCGATCACGAATCTTAATCACACCCCAGATGGCTCCTGTCACCATAAAAATAATACCCAGAATTTAATCGAAAGAAACGGTAGCTCAAACAAAATCAAGAACAATAACAAATGAAATAAAAGTAAGTAATCAGAAAAAAAAAAAAGAAAGAAAAACAATCAAATAATAAAAAGAAAGAAAAAGGGATGAAACCCTAACCCAAGCAAAGACGCGATCGGAGAATCAAGAGAACACCAGAGAGAGGTATAAAAGCGAAGGGAAAGGAAGAGGAGGAGAGACAGAATGAAGGCGATGTGTTTGTGTTAATTTCACCTCTCTTTTCTCTCTCCCTCTCTCTCTCCACCTTCAGTATTTAAGTCTTTCTCCGCCAACGAAGGCTTTCACCCACTCGGTGATGCCAATTTGCCCGCCCGGATTACCCGGATTGCCCATTTTGCGTCGCCCAGGCTGCTTTCATCTATGCTTCTGCTATTTATATTTTGTACCGTTTATTTTCTTTCCAATTTTCGAGGCATTGGAAATACAGAGCTTATCAAGGGGCCTTATTGGTATTCCGACATTGTTGCGCTGTCATACGGCCATAATCCTACTTCGTTGTAGTGTATTGTGATTTAAATTTTCGTTTTGCCATTTTCATCCTTCGTGCCTTTACTATTTTACCCTTTTTCATAACAACCATTTTTCGATTAAAACTTTTATTAATTTCTTTTCACAGGTTTATTTTAGAATTAACCACTCATCCATATCTTACAGTTGAAACTTAAAAGCGCATTTTGTGGGACATCTGGGCGTGAACGGTTGGATTATAACTCAACGTATGCAGAATAAAACAGATAGCACATGAAGAGTATAAGATGTAGATATTTTGTATAAAAAAAGAGGTAGATATTTTGTAAAATATCTTGTACTGATCATACGTTATAGATAGTAATTATTATTTGTATTATTATTATTATTATTAATTATTATATTATAATTAATATATTAAATTATGATTTTTATTATTAGTTTTTGCTTATTATTATATTATTGTCATAATAATAATTAATACCATTATTATATTGGAAAAATACGGATAGGCTTAATGCAGATTTCTGAATTTCACTGTAAATCTATAAACATTCAAATTATCAAATATTCACACTCTATGCATGAATGCTCGCCTATGAATTGATATCAATTCCAAGCTAACACCTATCCCAACAGTATATTGGATCTAAAAATTCTAATCCTGGGTTGAAACGTCATTCTCTCTTATTATATTATATTACTATAATATTATTATAATATTATCTTATATTTTTAATATTTTTATTTTATTATTACATTTTACTTAATTATTTTTTATTATTAAGACAAATTTCTTAAACTATTATCTTAAAGTACCACTAATTCTAAAGTTTCTATCGTGTTAAATCATAGCAAAGAAGATGAAATGATGTTTTTGTCCTTATATCGTAAATTACGTTTATGACCCGTGGTCTACAGTAAGGGATTTCACATGTGTCATTGCCCGAGTAGAGAAACATCATCGCCTAACGTTGCAACTTCCAATCGGCGGTGAGAAAGATTCGTTTGGGAAAAAAATGTTGTTCAACCCTGTTACACATTTTTTTTAAATGGAATTAATTGTAATGGCGTTAAACACTAAACCTTAGGACGACTTTGTCTTGTTTGTTTATCTTACATACAATTTTTTATTTCTTTCACAGTTGATCGATAGAAGACGGTAGTTTTCTTTTGTAGTAGGATCAATAGAAGACAGTCCAACAATGAGGTATGTATAGAGATTTATGTGCATCTTTTTCTCACTTGCCTATTTCTTTAGTTCAGTCAAGGGAGAGTATTCGTAGTTCTTTGATTATGTTAGGTTTATACATCCAATTTCATATTTGAATCAAGGTTCTAAATATCGATAAGGCCAATATGCTTGTATGTTTTATTTTTTTAACCAATTCAGAGGGATCGGTTTAAATCCCGACTATCCTTTGAATCATGACCTGACCCGATACAATTATGTAGGAGCATATCAGGAAGGTCCCAATACGATATGTATCAGCCGATACAAGATGATATATAACAATCCACATCCTCATCACTCTCACAACCTCTAAGACCTCTTATAAGAATCTTAGATGACACTTGATTAGGATTAGGGACATAATATCAGCTATATGTTTGAATTTGTTCATTGAGATATAACAGAATCTAGAGAGCTGAACATACAAAGCTATTTCTCCCCACCAAGTATCATATTATAACTGAACAGAGCAATCCGACACTTCAATTTTTTCTTGAACAATCTGACACTTCAAAACAGTAGGCTACACCCGGTTTTTGTTCTACTAGTTTCATTGGATAACTGAAAAATGAATTAATTGACATTATAAAATTTTGGGAACCTACATCATATAATGTAAAGATAAGATGTCACTCTCCTATGGGTATTTTGATTCATATCCTTGAATGAGATATTCACACAAGTAGAGGCATAAGAATCCAACTAAAAGCAATTTGACTTATGAATGAGCACAATGAGTCAAATTTGTAGGATGGCAAGGTTTTTCTCCTCTATCATTCCTCCTTGATTAGAGAACTTCTGATTGTTCAACCAAGTTCTAAATAGAAATGTCAATACACATCGCCACATTTCAATAGTTTTTTGCATTGTTGAATATGTTTTAAATCATTCCTCCTCGAGTTTATTTCGTCCACCTTGCTTAAACCAGGCTTCTTCTTGTCCTATGTCATCTATAATCTTTTTCCTCCACTGCCTCTTTTCTTTTCTCTTTTTATTTTTTCATGTTTTAATTTATTTTTATCATCATTTTGTTGCTTATTTATTAGTCATCATCATTTTTACTTTTTTACCTTTTTATTAGTTTATTTATTTTATGTTTTCTTTTCTCACTCTTTTTCTGTTTTTCTAAGCTTTTCTTTTCTCTTTTTTTTCACTTTTTTCTTTTTTCTTTTTCCTTTTATATTTGAAAATTTCTCTTTTTATTAACCATTTTATATATTTTTTATTTTGATTTTGGTTGCTTTTTTTGAATTTTTCAGTTTTATATTTTATTTATTTATATATTACATTGTCTTTTCTTATATTTTTCATTTTTAGTTTTTATCCTTCGACTTTTATTCTAAAATTCCTGTTTATTATATTTTTTACCCCTTTTTATCATTATATTTTTTAAAATTGTTTATTTTTTTCTTTTTCTTTTTTTACTATTTTACCTTTCTATTATCATATACTTTTTGTCTTTTACTTTTTCTCTCCTTTTTATTTTTATTTTCATTTTTTCTTTTTGTTTTTTATTCAGAGGTGCTCAACACATGTGTCCTATCCTAAAACTAGGGTGTTTCCACTCTTTTCTAGATCTCAAATTTGAGGTTCTAATTGAAGATGCATGGGTTGACATGGTTCATTTCTAGACACAAGGTTTTCAACAAGGTAACTAGCCTTCAAACCTTCACCTGTTGGACAAGCGGGCTTTTCTAGTTGGTGACTGGTTCGGGGGCTTTAGGTGTGACCACAAGGAGTAAGGTCCATCCTGTCTTGACCACCTACTAACCCCTCTTCTAATGGGACATAGGATTTTAGCACTAATGCAAATGGTGTGTGCAAAGGGTGAGTGAATCAAATAAGCAATGACAAAAGCAAAGCAACTAGAAATTATAAAAATCATAAAACAAGCAATTAATATCATAAAGCAAAGAATTAACATAAAGCATATCTATAGACAACAAGAACAACCTAAGCCAAATGAACCCCATGTGGGCCCCACCTATGGTCCAAGAACTCCTTAGTGGAATTGTTAGATTGTGAGAATCGGAAAATGGTTCACTTGAGCTGATTTGAAATTGCCACCCATCAATCAAGTGAAATGGAAGTAATATGACCTCCAAGAATGGTTTTCAAAAGCATTTTTGCTTTAATAGTAACTTCAAAGCCCAAAGCACCAACTAACCAATTCGAGTAAGACTCAAGTAGAAGAGGGAAGGGGTTAGGCACCTCTCTCCTAGGTCCAATAGGTGGGCCCACAAAAGTTTCCAAACAAAGCAAAAATAAACAAAATGTACAATTAATTAATCAAACAAGAGCAAGCTAATAATAGAGAAAATAAACAATCAAGAACAAGAAGACAAAAGATAATCTTCCCTAAACATTTATTTATTTGTTTATTTATTTTACTATTATTATTATTTTTTATTATTAAATATTTCATTTTCTATTTATCTATTTGCATATTATTTTTATCAACTATTTATTTTTTGTTAATTTCCTCATATATAGAACCCTATTTGTATATTTAATTTATTGGATTGGTCATCTATTTATTCTATATTATATTTATAAAATTTTAGTTTTTTTATTATTAGTGGGCTATTCTCCCTCCTACACAACCGAATCTAAACTAACCATCTCACTTCATCAATAGTGTCCAATTTGATTATCATTTCATTTGTCTTTCTTCGTTTTTATATTTTATCTTTTAACCTTTTTTGTCTTTTACATTTTTTTATTTTATTTTATGGGTTAATTTGTTTTCCCCGGATTGTCACTTTTCCCATGCCAAACCAGCACGCAGGGGAAACACCAGGCTCCTTCACATTCTCTTTATAGAAATCTCCCCTCCCATCATTCTAATTATATTTCCATTATCTTCATTATATATTTTCTTTACCATTTACAACAATAGCCTGGACAACGAAAGCAAATTAGAATCAGAGCTCCGGACAATACAACTGTTCAAAATAATCAAGATAAAAAAGAAGAATAAAATGTACAATTCAGACATTAACAGTCGTGAATCAACTAGAACTCCATCCATTCTTTGAGAAACAACAAATAACCACTTCAATTATATGCTGGAACAATATAAACGACAATGAAGCTACTGCCTTTCAACAATCTCGCAGAGAATAGTCCCACGAGGAGCTTCACCGCATTGTCTCTAACCTCTATCATCGCCGATAATCGACTAGTTCATACTAGAAATATAGCAGAGAAATCATATACCATTGACAATAATAAACTCAAGAAAAGGTTATCACCTAATTCTCACTAATGACATGGCTCCCTTGGTCCCCTGGTTCCGCCTGAATTATGGGGTGAATATTTTCGATGATGTTGGCTACAGTTGGTTCGGTTCAAGCAACAAAGAAAGAAAGGACATGGGGGTCGTTGAATGATTGAGGAAGTGAAGGTGATGAGGAGTAAAAGGAGAATGATGGGGGAACTAAAATCAATGGTGAGATGGTTGGGAACTATGGGAGAGTTCTGCTCTTGTGGGTTCACTGTTCTTGTCAAGAAGATGATGAACGGTGGTTGAACAGAGGGAGAAAGATGAACAGATGGTAAATRGAAGAGAAAGAACGGCAGGGAAGATGACAAAATGGAGGGAAAACAAAGGGGAGAGAGTTCCAATGGC